ACGGTAGAAAAGCCCAATACGTATTGAAAACGACTGTATGAGTAAAGGTGTTTTCACCCTGAGGATGAACGCATGCGTCGTCGTGTGCTCGTCCTGTGAGAGCACACGACGGGCGCGCGGGCAACTCAACGACCAAAGGGTAATAACTAAATTATAGTTATCGCATTATCAAAGAGTCACAGAAGAAGTTGTGCACCAAAATTTATTGATGATGCAAATGATAGTGATGATATGGTACACTGCAATTTTTGAATCTTCATAATATCTGCACTTGCCGCGAGGTACATCAACTCGATTTGTAGTAACCCCTACATCCGCGTCGATTATTCTGCTATTGACTGTGACCCTTTCTAAAACTCAGGTACCCTAGTTTATGATTCAGAGCGCAACGGATGCAAGTGCTGCAAACTGCAAATAGGCAGACATCGGCACTACTCTAGATTACAAGTATTTTTCTCATAAGGAATCCTCAGAGGAGGCAGAATGAATATCGACTCAGACTATACTACAGTAATTTTTTACACACCAATATAAGAAGGCTATTCATGTAAGCGAAACGCAACGACCTTGATGCATTCGACCCGCAAAATATTATCACAAACGCCATATCACGCTATACTGAGAATGGATGTTCACAATCGAGGGTGGATTCATGCAGTAAGCGCGAAATGGCTGCGGTGAGGTCCACGGCTGCTGAAAAAGAGACAAGATAATGAAGAAATATGCGGCTAAAAAGCAAGCTATTGCATACTTTTTTGCTTCTCTGGTGGAGAATCTGGCACTGTCTTAACAACTCGATAATCCATCACAAATCCTTTCGGAGAATCTGAATTAGGTGTTCAATTATTTTTCCAGGCTATATAAAAACGACAGACAAGAGAAAAAACCTGATGCTTACCGTCACTTTCATCCTCCGAAGACGTCTCATCAAAACCTGCTACATTCATAGCACTGAAATAGGTGGATCGTTAGCTGGATTATAAATACGTACGTTATAGAACATCTCTTTTCCGCAAGCAATTAAATTCTTCTATTGGACGTTCTTGGCTTTATTGTTTGCGCAGAAACATTCTAAAGCTTTGGTTTCTAAGTGGACTCAGACTGCTTCAGAAGGTGCGAAGCATAACTCCAAATATTTTGGTCGCTAAGTGACGGAATCACCATCATTGCGACTCAGTGACCCTCCGCAAACACCTTTGAGGTGCTTACCAAGCTTTGGCAGATCAATGAGCGAATTATTTTTTTTACACATTCTAGAACAAGATGGCGGCATGCAAGAGAGAGTTTTTTTTTGCAAGGAACTCAATTGAAAAATTCAAAAAGGTGCTATTAGGCTGGCGAGAAAGTTCTTGTGTGATTCGAACGAAATTTGAAAATTTCAAATACTAAACCTAGGTTATGGTTCGATTTGAGAGATTGCAGAAGGTTCGCGCTACACAACAGATTTGCAAGCGTACATATGATTTACTGGTTAACGAAACGAGACTTGCAAAAAAGGCTCTCCAAATTGTGCGATTTTGAGTCTTATGCTAGAAATGCGGAAGGCCGCTAGCTAGCAAAAAATAGTGCAAAAATTTAGTGTTCTCACGCTGCAAAACCGCATAAGTTTGTGCAAAACTCCATAAGTTACTGTGACAGGCTTCAATCTTGTACGATAACGCAAAAACAAAGAATTTGTGAAAGTCATCAAACCAAAAATTATCAGCAAAAACACTGTCGCTTCAAAGCGTCACAGTTTTCTAAACAGAGACTAGGTCTGATTTCTTCTCAACTGTGTTTCCTGAAAAGAAAAACTGCAAAGCTAAAAAGATTTCTCCGCTGAAATGACATTTTCTGCGAATTTTTTGTTTTAGTATAGCCATACGAGACTGAAGCCTGCCAAATTAACGTACAGCTAATGTAAGAATTTTTTACATATTTGTTTAGGCTAATTAGCGGCTCTCTGGAATTTTTCAGCACTGAACTCGAAGTCGCAGAATTCAAAGCGCCATTTGTAAGCTTTCGAAAGCCGAATGACCTGAGTCAGCTTCTATGTATGAAACCCCGCAAAATACCAAAACTCTTGAGCTGGTAC